CAAACAAATATGAGATACAGGAATGTCATGTCATGTGTGATGTGTAAGGTATATTGGGAAATAACAGCTCTCAATTTACACACCAGTTTGCGGATCCTGTCCAGAACCAGATCAATGATCTCTTTGCCGATGGTGTAGTGTCCACGGGCATAATTGTTGGCAGCATCCTCTTTGCCAGTGATCAGCTGCTCAGGATGGAACAGCTGGCGGTAGAGTCCAGAGCGCACCTCATCTAAGGAGACGCATTCAATCAGAAATCACATGAGCTTTGCCTGCCTGACAGCAACAAGCAGCTTCTATATCTACTGACAGTTTATTTACCGATGACAGTGGGCTCCAGGTCCACAAACACAGCTCTGGGAACGTGTTTTCCAGCTCCAGTCTCGCTGAAGAAGGTGCAGAAGGAATCATCCCCTCGTCCTTCAGTCTTGTCACTGGGTATCAGTCCATCCGGCTGGATCCCATGTTCAAAGCAGTAAAGCTCCCAGCAGGCGTTGCCAATCTGGACTCCAGCCTGACCAACGTGGATGGAGATACACTCACGCTGGAGGAAAACAAAACAATATATGACTCTTACCAGGTAGCCACACGCTAACATGTTTTAACAAATACTAATTAGACACTTGAGATTACTTATTACATGAAACCTGAGAGCCAAAGAAATGAGGGAAAAATTAAGCTTTTGTAAAAAAAAAAAAAAAAATGATACCACAACTGAGACAAACACTACGTCATCTAACATATTTAAAGATGCTCAATAATTACCCTGTGAATCCCTTTTTTCAAACGAACACATAGATAATGATCCATGAGGTATAAAATACGATCAGGACACAGAAACAATCTCACAATGCCACGATTAAAAAAAACTATTTGGAGAAACATCATTTTAGTTTGTCAAAGCCAGACACAGTTCTCACACGTGTAGTTTTCTAAACCCCAGTCATCACATTTTACAACATGAAGATGATCAGATTAACTGTTTGGATCACAGAGTTCTGCTGGTAGATAAACGTCAGTTGGCGGCAGCAGACTGAAGTTAGAAACGTTAGAAAACTGGGCTGAGCAGCAGGAGAAGCTGGAAACTAGCAAGAAGCGCTAAAACGGAATTCACAGACTGAGATATTTCTATTGAAAACTAAGCAACAACAATTTAAAAAACTACACTTAGCTAATATTCAAAGTTACAGCCAGGATAAATAGTAGATAACTTGACCAAATAAAAAAAATGGGCCGTTTTGCTGACTAACCGTTAGCCAACGTCTTCAGGGAACGCTAGCTAACTTAGCCGTTACCGTTAGCAACTCACGTTAAAACCAGCTACTGCCGATTATTAGAGCCAACCTGGAACACACAGTCACTGATGTGAGCTTTAAAACCGGTCCACTCACCATGTTTGCTGACTTTGTGTCGACAGACGTTGAAATATGAAACAAACCGACGTTACCGCCTCAAACCTCAGAGTTCTGATGAAGAAGATGCCGCAGCGAGCCGAGCCGGAGTCTTTTATACTCGCACTGCGCGCGGCAAAGAGCGGCTGTATCTGATTGGCTGAGAGTCACAAGAGCTGCTCTCCTATTGGTCAGACACTAACGGTCGTCGGGTAAAAATCAGAAATAGAGTCTCTCTAACCTGCCTCCAAATCTGTATAAAACACAGCACGGACATGAAAATACATCAGAATGTTCACGACAAGATTCTGCTTCACACGATGAAAGAATTTTTTCGATACGACTTCTACTTTTTGAGTTGTGACGGTTTGTTCGAGGCTCTGCTGCTCTCCTCACTGAGTGAACCCGGGACTCACAGCTGATTGGCTGATTGGTGCACTTTCAAAGTAAAAGCTCAAAGATGGTAAAAGCTACTGATCAGGTTTTTGGTTTTTTTTGCATTATTTGACACTTTGATTCATTTATTTTGCTTATTTCTGTCTGTCTCTCTCTCTTTATTCATATATATGTTTATTTTTTGTGTGTTTTTATTCTTTATTATTACTAATGTTTCGGTCTAGAACAGGTGCTAAATACATTTCACTGTGCGTTATCCTGTGTGTAATTGTGTATACACGTCTTGAATCTTAAATAATTACGTCAGAAATTTTAATTCTGATGTAAATTCTTCAAGGTTTGCTTTCTCTCTGAATCGGCCTTGTCCTTCTGACACCTCGGCGTCCTGTTCCGCTGCCGGCTCTGATATCTGCTGCGTTGTTCACAATCATCTGCTTTTCTGCCACTCCTGGGCAGCAGACGGCTGTAAATCTGCTCAGACTCTTTCTACGGTCACATCGAGGGCCCGTGGCATCGCTCGGTAGCAGCCTTACAGAACACAAAAATAGAAATAGGACATCTTACACCCTCTCTGGCTCTGAGGTGAACACATGCACACTCAGGCCTCCAGACAGCACGGCTTGAAAACGGGAAAGAATCGAGCGTGGAGGAGGTTAAGATGCTGAAAGAAGATACTTCAACGCAGAAAATGTGACATTTTTTTTAACCTTTATTCACAAAACTGTACACTGTAAAACTTTACACGGGTTTCTTTTGGTATTTTTGCTTTAGCTATTAATCACGTGGCTGCAGCCGAGAGGCTTTTACTTCCTAAAACAAAAACCAGTTAGTTAATGAAACTGGCTAAGGCACAAATAAACACTGTGTTGTTCATCCAATTAAAGCAGACTGGACATGTTCCATCACAGTTTACGTGATGAACATTCACAACAGTTAATCTTGGTAATAGTTAATCGATTCATTGGGCAAAAACAGTGGTTGGCTTACTGATGTATTGTGTTTATTTCCTAGAGAGCACATTAAGATAAGTGAACCATCAGCGTTTATTTTCTGATCTTGCTCTCACGGATACGGTGAACAAACCTGTTGCACAAGACGTCAAACTTTCTTTAAATTCGTCCAGCGAAAAACCAGTTTAGTACCAAATAAACTGTGTTTGCAGGTCATTTCTGTACCAGACCGCTAACGCTGACATCAACTGGATTCCTAAACCAAACGGTTCATGTGACAATGCAACATTTTTAAAACCATTTGAATGCCTCACTGGAGAAGCCTGTTCTTCTCTTGGCTTATTTGAAAATACACTGCAATAAAGCAAAACAATCATGTCCTTCCATGACCCCAAAAAACTTGGATTTAAATGCTCTCATGCACCTAAAAGCTGTTTCCTGCTGCAACAAGACACCGTCCACTGCAGCTTAACGTGATTCCAGTGGAAAATTAGAGTGTAGAGTCCATCTACATCACAGAAATAAATGTATTTAACAAGCATCTGGTGGGCAAAAGCTTAAAGCTGCTTTGTTTCTGTTTAAACTGTGTCATCTGTCAGATTTTCTAAAGCTTGAAAACTGAGCCTGCAGACGTCTGGTTTACTACAATATACAAAAAGTATTGTGTCCAGTGATTCCAAAGAAGAAAAACTGCCTACCCCGGCTTTAACGCAAATCCCATGTAATCACAGCGACACTGTCAACGGTCCAATAAAGGCAAAAACATTAGAATTTAAACATGATTACAAAAATAACCTGCAGATTATTTTTTAAAGCTCTCCCGAAATCTGTGCATAGTTAACTTTTCTAACGTGAACACATACATTCCATATTATCTTTAAACTTAAAGGCAAAGAAAACACAAATGTGCACGAATTAAACTTAAAATATATATCAGACAGCCTTTTACATGTTCAGGTATGTTTATATATCTCAGTGTAACAGTTTTAAACATTTACAAAAAAAAAAAAAAGAGACAGAAAATATGCACATTCACTTGCAGGTTGATTAATTATTATCTTTTTGCTTTACAGTCTATTGTCACGTTTGAGTTTCTGAAATAAACGTCAGAACAGCAGGATGGGTTACTGGCAGGTGTTGTAGATCTGGATCTGTCTGTTGATGTCGTTCAGGATTCCCTTCATCTTGTCCTCCAGACCGTCCAGCTGCTGAGCCTTTCCCTCCAGCCTCTTCTGGTTCTTCTCGTAGTTTTTCTCCAGTTCTGCGGAAAGTGGGATTTAGCAAACTATTTCCAACGATTTCTTGTTTTTGTCTAAAAGGATGATTGTTTCCTAAAACGTTTATCTTGAACTGGCATTTTTTAAGAAAACTCTGGAGCCACACTTGTTTTCAGTGGCTTTCGGTATTTCCTAATTTTTTTGTATTTTATCAGAAACTTTGCTTTGTTTTATGACTTTATACTATTCTATTCTCTTTTTTTTGATTTGTGTTATTATAAATAAACCTGATTTGATCTGATTTAAAACCATGTAAAATAACTTGTGGGGTTCCTCAAGGCTCATTACTAGGTTCACTGTTTTTCACCTGTTACATATTTTACCTGCTGCTCGCATGGTGAGAATTCATTTTATTTCATATTCTAAGCTGCTGATACACGACTTTACATGCTTCCTGATGACACAGGCTCTACTGACACACTTTTAGATGTACATTTAGACACGTTTTAATGTTTTGCAACTCGACAAAGATAAGACTTAAATGTATGCTACGAGTTTTAAGCCTCAGAAAAAGAAGTGTAACTGTACACTATCAAACAGGCAAAATCTCATCAATGTCATCTTTGGCACAGAGTTAAACTTGATGTACGTTTATTAAATGATCTGCTTCGAGACAACAGATTCAAGTTTCACGTCTGTTGTATTAGAACCAGATTTATAATCAGAAAAAGTTTATTGAGCCCCGAGCAGAAATTGCTGAAGTTACAGTTGCTCACATTCAAGTCTGAAATATAAACAGTACAAAATATACACAATATGAACTAAAATATAAACATAAGTGGAAAAATATGACCTAAAAATATCAACATGAGTCGTCAGTTATTGCTACTGTTTACTGCTTCAACTCAAATGTCTCTGGACGTGTTGATAATATGCAGATTACTGTGCTTTAAATCAAACAAACCTGTTCAGAAGGTGTCAAAGTGTGAGTGTTGATGGATTCTGGGCTTTGCTGTCTGCTCTGTCTCCTGTTTTTTTTTGTTTGTTTTTTTTTTAGTTTTAATTTGAATAAAAATGGTTGAATGAATAGTAAAATATCACTTTTAAGTCTAATTTTTATGTGATGCATGACGTTTCATGTTTTCTTCCTTCAAACACACACAGATCAACAAACACAGGTGTGACCAGGTACCTGCTAGTCTCTGCAGCTTGTTTTGGGCGTCCTCCAGCAGCTTCTTTGCTTCGTCTCTGAGACTTTCTGCCTTTTTCTTGGCGTCTTGCACAGCCTTGGCTTTGGTGTCGACCCGCTGCTGCACCTCGTTGTATTTATCCGTCAGCTGGCCGTCTAGAATCTGAGCGTCGACACAGGAGAGAGGAGTTTCTGTAGCAGCCGGCTCTGCTTTAAATGAAGTCTACGGAAACAGACGTAGGAACACACCTGCTTGGCTTCGTTGGCCTTGTCTCGGGCCATGGTGGCCGTCTCCTCGGCTCGGGCCGCCGCCATGCTGTTGTTGGCACGTTTGGTCTTCAGGGCGTTGATCTCCTGTCCCAGAGTGCCGAGGCGGTCCATGGCATCGTTCAGGCCCTTCTCGCTGTTGGACGTCTCGGACTCGATCTGTGGAGCGAATGAGTGAAACTGAGATCTGATCCTCATCACAGACCGGATTTAACACGTATGTACCAGGACGTTGCTCCTCAAAGTGCATGTTCATGGAGTTACGTTGCAGAAATCACTGTCGCCTCACACTGAGCACACGGGGGTACTTCAGAAAGCTCTCAACCTCACTTTGAAACAAGTGACTCCCATTTTAGGACATAACTGTTTGCTATAAAGCCTTATATCAGTGTCCAAAAAAACTCAGATGTTTGAGGCAGTCAAAGAAGAAAGGACAGGAAATGTAGACCAACGAGTCCGTCCACACAGCACAGGTAGCACAAACTGTTGCTTCATGCACCTCACTAACCCGACCTGCACCGTCTAACTTCTGTCTGTTTCCCAAACACCTGCTTGGGCGCCATTTTCAAAACTGATGATGAGGTCGTGCATGTTGTTGAGGCTCAGATGAGACTTCCTTCCGCGAGGACATAGCGAATGAATCAAGTGCATTGAAGTTAAAGGGTGCTGAGAAACAATGCAGGAACAATCTTTCTCTCACCTCGGCCAGTCGATTCTCCGTCTCCCCGATGTCAGCTTTGGCCTTGGCGATGGCTTTCTCTGCTGACGTCTGAGCGGTCTTGGCGTCCACCAAGGCCTTCTTCACCGTCTCCGCCGTGGTCTTCACTCCCTCAGCACGATGCCTTCACAACAACAAAGCGTCACCGACAGCGAGCGGCACAAAATCCTGCCACGCCTTTGAATGTGTGCAGGTTGTTCCACCTACCTCGCCCTCTTGGCGTCCAGCAGCAGCTGCTCCGCCTTGCGGACGTCGTCCTGCGTCTGCTGCAGGATGGCGTCCACGTTGGAGAGGCTGCGAACTCGCTCCTTGATTTCGTCGGCGAGGTGTCTGATCTGGAGCGGCGAGGCGGGGATGGAGAGCTCCAGCACTCGGTTTGCTACGTCCTCGATGCTGTCTGGGTCGGCTCCCTCCTCTGAAACAAAGACACGCGTTAGACCGACACAGGAAGCACTGACAGTATTGTACACGCTGCTGCTGAATCCATAAGCTTGTTTTCTTCAAGACTCACGAGTGAGGAACTCTCGGATCTGTTTGATGAGGTCTCTGAGGTCGTTGTTGGAGCGCTCCACCTTGTTCTTGGTGGCCGTGGCTTTATCCAGAGCAGCCTGGGCTTTACCTTTGGCCTCCTCCGCCTTGGTCTTCGCCTCGGCCACCTGAAAGACAGGCAGGAAGGTTTTATAAAAAAAGACTGACAGACACAACTAGAGGCTTGAGTAATTCCTACAGGAAGCAGCAATGAGATTGTTCAAAGAAATCTCCTCTTGTTTATGAAAGTTTTAATGCGTTCACTGCTATCTCGAGTCAGTTTTGTCTACACACGTCTGAGAATCCAGCTGCACCTCATTCAAAACACACAGTCTGCAGCCCATCGCTCTGTCCTCACATCTGTGGTTTAATCTGCTTTTGAAGTGGAAGCAGCACAAAAATTATGTAAAATAGGAGTTTAGTGATGTTTGTGTCACGTATTCAACTAAAGCAGTGGAGGTCTGTGGACAAGGTTCTGACTCATGAATTTAAATGATCATGAAACATAAAAATACACGTATTCATCATGTATCGGGGTTTCAGAACGTGACAAGTTTTGACACTGTGCAAGTGAACATCTTACACATTAGTGCTTGTGCATGATGAATGCTGAGTTGTTTTGGTGTAAATGCATCAGTCATAGTGGTTCTGTCAGTCTGCCGCAGCCAAATGTGTGAAACAAGCTGCTGTGTGTTCCAAAGGTAAGTGATCTGTAGCTGATAATTTAAAAAAACAAACTAAATAAGGACAGAGGAGGCCAAGGAGAGGTCCGATACACTCAATGATAGAGAGCTCAGCAGTGACTGACCCAGTGAAGAGCTTCAGGAATACATTCAGTTTCAAACGCAGTCGTCGGGCTGCAAAATCAAATGAACACTGATCACACTTCAGACTTCAGCGTCCCACAACTAAATGAACATGATCAGTTTTCATATTTTAAATGTGCTAGATACATTTTTTAAAAACTGTCTATGCAGATAAAATCACACTAGAATGACTTGTTTTCCTGGTTTTCATGCTACTTTTTGCTCACACGCTTGTTTGTGTGCACTGCAGTCTCCTAGCATGTGAGGTGTTTAGGGAACATCAGGAAATTACAGTTGTCTCTTGATACGCAGATGTTCCTCAGGCGAAGAGTTCAGCTCAGTTTAAAGCAGTGATATCAGACAACCTGAGGGACAGGACTGGTGACAACATAAACTGTTTTGTGGATATCAAGTCATTGTCGAGCTTCACATCAATGCAAATCAATGGCTACTTAAATTAAGACAATCATTCATCAGCAAGTGGCAGAGAGGTGCGACTAAATCATGTTCTGATGGTACAGCGCTATGTGCAGCTAACTGAACTGTTTCAGTTTCTGTTATTCTATGTTAAATGATGCAAGTATTTCAGCAACATGTTGAATGTCTTTAAAATACATTTCTTCTACATGACGTAGATGATAGAAGCAGAAAAAATAGACTTCCACGAGATACACACGATAGATGGTATATTAGTTGATAGAGAGAAAATTAAGAACCTAAAATATTTAGGGGTAGATACCAACAAATAAGGAAAAATGTCCAAATTATAGGGAGTTTGCACAAGTTCCATCAAGAGGGACAAACCGTTACAAACCCCACTCAGTGACAGTTTAATTCAAAAATACTCTACAAGCAGCTGGTAACACATCCAAGGATTTGCACAATGATGTATTTCTGACAAAACCAGGTGTCTGCCGTCAGTATTCCACTGTTAGACTGATGCAGCTACACATTCATCTTCATTCGTGCAGCCGTAGAAAGCTGCTTAGTGCTTCACCTACAGCGTCATCCTCCTCCATACCTTGGTGAAGAGTCCCTCCACCTCCCCCATCGCTTTGCTCAGCTCCTTCTCTGCATGTTTGGCTTTCTCCAGAGCGTTGTCGGCGGCCGCCACGGCGCCGTTGCAGTTCAGGCCTCCACAGTGGCGGTTCCCGTCGTCGTCGCGGCAACCTGCACCGCCGCAAGGGCTCTCTCCACAGGGGGCGTCACCGGGAGCGCCGCACACCTGGATTCATGTGAATATTATCAGTGGCATTAGGTATGCAAGGCAAAAACACAGTCACAGGCACGTTGAGTTAAGACCAGAATCTGAACTGATGTAATTAGATTTACCATATAAATATATATATTTTTCCATAAAAAACTAAAATTGTGGCAAAGAGAAGCAAACACAGAGCTAAATGGATGCTAGCCCAGGAGTTAGCCATGGCTACCTTTAGACAAAAACTAAATGTACTTTATTTTGGAGCTAAAAAATATAAATTTTGATCAACAAGACAACACCTCGGTAGCTAAACTCAGCCATGATGCAAAGACATAAACACAACTGAACTAAAGTTAGCAGTTTAGAAGAGCTAACTTTAAATAACACATTTGGATATTTTCAGTTGAATTCACAACAGATGTCATCTCATAGCACTTTACAAATTTTAAATACAGAAACCCGACAAATCCAAAGTTTCCTCTGGATTTTCTTTGATCAAGCACTTGGCATCAGTGGGGCGGAACAAAAAAACGTCCGCTTTACCGGAAAGGACAAAAAACTTTACTGTTAGTCCAGAGATATGACAGAAAGCATGAACCACAAATGATCAAAAGTTGCACCAACTAGCTAGAAAAGGACATTTTTAGTTCTTATGTAGGCTGATGTGGTCCCTTTTTTGTTATTTTGGTTTTAAAAAAAAGGTATTAAAAGGCATTGGAATTCCTTCTTTCTACCTTATCAGGCCAACAGCAGCTACACAGAGTAAAGAACGAGCTCAGACCTTCTCGTTGATCTTCTTCATGTCCAGGCCTTGTGCCCTGGCGTTCAGCTCTCCCAGCGCTCGCTTGTTGGCGGCGTTTTTCCGGTTGAAGTCGTCCTTCTTGGCGGCGATGAGGCGCTCGGTGCGACGACGGGTGTCGGCAGACTGGCTGACCGTGCTCGGCCTGGTGGTTGTCGATTCGTTAGCACGTCGCTCTGCATCACGAGACCTGTTGTACGAGCTCCGGATGCTGTCATACGCCCCTGGAGGGGAAAAAAAAGACATTTTCATCTCTTGTTTGGTGAATCAAAGTGACGCTGGAGTAAGTTTGGGGATTGTTTTGAATATGGGATTAAAAAATGAAAAAGGATGAGGAGAAATTATGCTCATAAGACAGAACCTGGTTGGGAAAATTAGAAATGTCAATGGATGGACACCAGATTGGGCACAGTTACTGGAATCCTTCCCCTTTTTCTCACCGAGGAAGTTGGAGTTTTTGAGGATATCCAGTTGGCGGTGCAGCTGCTCTGACGTGAGATTCAGTTCTTTCGCCTCCCTCTCCAGAGCGCTCAGTTCCTTGCTCGCCTCAGAGTTGCTGTCCTGGACGACGGTTAGGTCTCCTTCCAGGCGGTTTAAGGTGTCGGTGGTGTCACCAATCTGGGCCCTTTGGGACACGACAAGAAGATGTTGGGTTTTCTAAACTATCATCCTCAGAAAAACTGCAAATTTTCAATCAAATGTCATTTTCTGAATACGGACACCTAACAGATTACTGATGAGTGATGTTCAACTTATAGCTTGCGATAAAGCACTGACCATTTTCTAATTCTAATCAGACTCCTGCACACCGTATAACTTGCAAAAATACATTTATTAGTGCAACGTTTTAATTCTAGCCCTTTATCAGACAAATAGTCGTACTGAATGTCCATCCAGCTATTTGCCCAAACAAAAAGTTGTGCTGTATCTTTGCAAGGTAGACAGTGAGCAGGAGTCGGATTATTTTGATCCCTTTCTTACACACCTGCCTCAAGAAATAGATGTGCAAAGAGTTCCTTTGGTTTGAACATTTTCACAATGAAAATGAACTGATTCACAATGTGTTTTTGTTTTGTTTGTTCACTTGGTAAAGGAATTTCAAAGAAAGATGAGTTATAAATATATCCTGTCCTTTGGCCAAGAGGCCCCAACGCAGAACAAGTTCAGCATCCCTGAATATTTTCACAATGGAAACTGTAAAAATGCTACCAAGTGTAATCAAGCAGCTATACCTGAGATCTTCCATGAGCTCCATTAGCGTAGCTACAGCTGCAGCGGTGGCGTTGCGTGCATTGACGATGCCCTGAGCTTGTGCCAGTTTCTCCTCCAGGTCTCTGAAGGCCTTCTCATAGGGCCCGGTAAGCCCAGTGGTCTGAATCTCATGGGCTCGCTCTGCCAGAGCCTTGGTACGCACTGCCAAGTCCTGGTAATGAGAGGAAATGGTCAGTTTTCCATTATTCAGTATTTTACATTTGGCTTCTGGTGACTGAGGATTACTGTTTTCCATGAAAGCTGCACCTGCACAATGCGATCCCAGTCCCCGAAGCACTGGTGGCAGGGCTGGCAGTTGGGGAACTGGCCAGAAAAGCCTCTGGCGCACTGGTCACAGCGGACACCGGACACCCCCTGCTGGCAAACACAGTGGCCCGTCACCCGGTTGCACTGAGAGGTCTCAATCCCACGCCAGTCGCAGTCGCAAGCTGGAGGGGAAGAAGAGGAGAGGGCAGTTAACATGCAGCAAGGAGGCCGAGTTTATAATGAGAGCTTTTTACTTAGTTTGTTTGTCTGGACACAAGAATCCCAGGAGCTCTGCATTTTCGTACGAGCTGCAGTGGGTTTCAGTATTAGTCAAAATATTATATGATTTAGTATATACTACAGTATTCGGTATTCAGTCTATAAAAGGAACTGACTGATTATTGGCCTGACCAATAACCACATTCAGCATTTTTTCGACTATCGTTACTTTTATTCGGTGATTACTGATAAAATAAATTGAATGTACTACTTTGGCTCTCTGTCTATAGTCACTCTATGGTCAAAAGCAACGTCCCACTCACAGCACCATCTGATTGGCTGCTACACAGTAACAGCCAATCGACACTGAAAGCTATTGTTTACACAGAGAGACCGATGAGCACATTTGCAAAGCTGTGTTTGGAAGGTGAGGTAGCAGGTACTGTTGAAATTGTAATAAACACCGCAGTCTTCCAGCAGCACGACCAGCTTCCCTGTTAGGTTGAAAACGCATCAATAATTCACTTGTTGGTGTCAATGCAGCTCAAACTTATTTAGCTGACGGTGCGAGGCTGAGGCTGTCATTTAAAAGGTAAATATCCAAAACATACATTTATTGCTCCCTACTGAGAAACTGCTGAGTCATTTTTTTCAGAGTAAAGTGGGTCATTTTGGACAACAGCCATAGTGCCTCTGAGCTGTGCAAATAGCATCACCAAACTAATTACCACAACAAGCCAACTGTCACACATTGAGCCGTGCTGCTGGGAATCCACATTTAGTCTTCATCACTTTCACTTTCAAATATCACATAATTTGCTTAATTGTTCTGTTTTTCTTGTGCATAATAATATTTTTTTGTGCGTGTGCCATCCATCCTTTGCACTTCAGTTTGGAATCCTTTGGTCTCTCCATCATGTTAGTGACTCCACCACTTCCTCAGAGCGTACAGAACGTCTTTATGTTTCAAACCTCTGCACTGCGTCCTTGGGTCTCCCCAGAAGTTCTCCTGACAGTCTGTGCAGGTTTTCCCTCCAAAGCCATCACGACATTGACACTGTCCAGTAAACTGCACGACAAAAGGCAAAGAAATAAAAATATAACACACTACAAGGGTACTTCTTTACCCAGGGGTAACAAGGCATGAACCTTCTATTTGAAGGCCTAACTGCATACTAAAAGGCTTTACATCACTGTCCACAAGAACTCAAGTGTTTGTCGTCATTTCTTTGCTGGTGATGTCCTTTGAAAATCAGTAGGTGGGAGGGGAAACCAAAAAATGGAAGGTAAGAAGCTAGTCTTCAGAGGAATGACCCCCCTAAGGACATCCAAGAAGACATGGATAACACACTTGGTGACGACTCCCTTTGCTATTCTAGAAGTGGGTTGCTGATTTCAAGCGGGGCAGGAAGTGGATTGAAGATGACCCACAGATGACCAAGTGTTGGCTTTTCACTGCATGGTCATGAATTATGTCCAACACAAAGCCGATACCATGCACATCACAGTTTCTTTCTACTTTTTGGTTTCCCTCTCACCTAATGATTTCCAAAAACCTGCAAGGAAATGATAAACATTTGTGTTTTTGTAGACATTGATATGAAGTTTTATAGTATACAGTTATGCCCCCAAATAGGAGTTACGCCCTTTGTTTCCGGGTGAACTTTTGAAGTACAGTCGTGACTCGATAATCCAACACGAAATGTAAAACCTTCTTTTATGTCGGATAGCAAGGCTGTCGGATTGTCAAGACGGAGGTCCAGATACGAGGAGGGCTTGATGCTGGATGTCTCATTAGTTGTTAATATTCATTGTTCATAGTTGTTATAATAACTAGTAGGGCTGGTCCCAAAAGCACTTTCTGCTCTCTGGATATTCAGGCCCAATTAATGATGAATATCCGAATATTCGGCGCGGTCGGGGGACACTTCCACCCCAGAGGTGTGCTTGGACGGGGTGGAAGTGGCCAGAACGTGCAGGCAGTATTTGGCTGCTGATGCTAGTTTAGGATAGCGGTAAAAATCTGAATGTAGCATCAAGTCCTGCAGTGTGAACGTAGCCAATCTGTGGGATTGTTCAGTCAGATAATACGCCGTCATCCTGATTGGTGACATTAAATGTCATGTCGGAGTCAGAATCCAAGGCTGTCGCTATGTTAAGGCTGTTTTTATGGGTTCTGTTCGTTTTTCCTAAAAACCTGTTGGATAGCACGGTTTTGGACTGTTAAGGGTCGATTATCGAGTCACGACTGTACCCTCGTAGTTATGAATTACTAATGCATTCACACTTTAAATAACATGTTCTCAGGTCTAAGTGTTCCTGTACCTCGTTGCAGGAGGAGGTGACAGAGTTGTTGGGATCACAGCTGCATGGTTCGCATCCTCTTCCGCTGGCCAGGTTCCAGTGACTCGGGGCGCAGTGGTCGCATGTCAGACCGATGACGTTTGGCAAACACTGGCACTGTCCCGTGGCACGCTGGCAAACGCAGTCCTCGCGCTCCATACACTGGCTGCGTTCGGTTCCCAGGAAGTTACACGTGCACTCTGAAGAAAAACAGGTGTGCCAACATTAGAGTGCTTTTCTGAAACACCGCCACCACGCAAGCCGCCAGCGTTTCTTGACGCCACTCACTCCTGCAGTTGCGTCGGGAAGCATCGCCGAAATATCCGCTCCTGCAGATGCCGCAGTTTGGTCCCTCGGTGTTGTAAAGACACTTCCTGCACTCTCCAGTCTGCCTGTCGCAAGCATCCACGTCCGACATGTCGATGTTGTTGTTGCACTGACACGGCTGGCAGCGCCCACCCGGCTGAGAGGGGTTGCCATAATAACCCGGGGCACATTCCTCGCATCGGGCACCTGAGTGGGGAAAAAAATCGACAAAGAAAGTCAAGCTTATGGCCAGAGCAGAGTGGAGAAAGAAGGTTATAATAAAACACTTTCACTGGAATAGTTTTTCTATAAGATTCTGTGATGTGCCGTGAAACTAGTGAAGTCAAAGCAGCAGAATCAACCAACAGGTGTTCTGACAACATCATAAGGAGCTTGGATTTGACCAATCTGACACTAAGACGTTTCTATTGGACACGTCTGTTGAAAGAAACATGTTAGTCGGACACTTTTCTGCAGAACAAGGACATTCTTATATTAATACAGTCGGTTACGTGCATCAGTTTTGTTACTCATCATCACTCGGTGGGATTTGGTTAACCAGTTCTCATTAGTTCAGGCCACCGCTCCCTTCCTGAGTAGATCACGTGACACAGTATTGTACTCGCTGATGCCTTCTCACATTAGTCGTTTACATTCTGTGATTTTATGTTTGGTATCCAACCCTGTACTTCGTATGATGAGCGGCTGCAACAGACAAATCTGCACAACAAACATTAAAGAAGGTCCCTCAGACTTCTGATGAAGACAGAAAGCTGCTAGTTCCTGTTTTATTGTGTCTCTTGTTGTTTTACTTGCCTCCTTTTGCCTGTTTCCCTTCTCTTTCTTTTGCTCTATTCAGCATTACCTGTCTGCTGTGTCTTGTCCATGAAACATTTACAACCCCCTCCCCCCCAAAAAAATTCATTTGTTATTTAAGAAAGTGAAAATGTCATATATTCTATACTAGCTACACGTAAAGTGAAACATTTCAAGCTTTTTATTTGTTGTTATTTTGCTGAAAATCTGAAAAGAGCATAAAATATCTGAAAGTTTAGTTGTTTTTTAAAATAAAAAAAAACTTTTTAAAATGTAATTATTTTCTAAATTTTTATTTCATACATTGAGTTAAAACAGAACATTTAAACACGATACAAACATTCCTAACTCCTGAATGAAAGGGTGGCAGAAAGAAGAATAATCTTATGTTATCTGCTCCCTTTTATTTTTTTGAAAGAAACCACATTTTTAAAAAAAAGGATTTACCTGCAGCTGATAAACTGTGAATCTACCTGAGGTGACAACAACTACACATGCTGATTGATCCTTTCTGTAATTAATTTTTTGAAATAAACTATTAAAAAAAGCACTTTGTTAGGACGTTCTATGTTTTCAGATAGCAAACTACACATTAGCAGGGAGCTACCTGTGGGATTCCTCTCTTACTGTAGAATGACAGATAAATAGACAGAGGCTGTACATGGTTTGTATATAACATGACTTTCCTCCATGCTACTTGCATATATGTAACCTAAAGCCAGTTATCTGTTTAATATGATATTTATTTCTATGACTATGTGACTAATGGTAATACGTATTGTGCATATTTATCCACTCATCGTGCCACATCTACGTGTAACAAGGTCTTTATCTTTATCCTTATTGTACTTTTGCATTTCTTGTGTTATAAAACAGTGAATCTTATCTTATCTTATGATGGTCACTTTCTGTTTTAATCAGAAGTCTAAGAAAGACTTTGTGATCCTATTTTCAGCTTAATCCAGCATTTCTGTGGCCACTGTGATGCCTGGCATCTCTTTTTTCTTTAACCGTCGCTGCGTCTGTACCTGTAATCAACTACAAACCAGTCTGCCACTGGTGTTGTCTTCCCCTGCTTGTATGTCACTTGCCAACGCTTGGACTAAAAAGAAGAAATATTTGGCATATCTGAGTCGAGCGGGAACTGGAACACGGGAGGAAATTGGAGAAGGAAAGAATGAGGATTTGGGGGGAAGATTAGACGGAAGCGAAATTGGATGGAGGACAGGAATGAAGGCGGGAGGAGGGGCAGTGGGAAACAGAAAGTATGGGTAGAATGTAATCTGCTGCAGCTTCCTGGAGCTTTTTAAGTCACGTTGCTCTATCTGACAGACAGCGGACAGACAGCGGACGGAGGCTTCAGCGGTGCTCTGTGGTGCTTCATTACAAAGCCAGGCTTGAAGCGAGTGTGGAGGGAGACGACTGCTCGACATCGCTGTAATGCAAACACAGGAGACAGAAGCTGACCCAGGCTCCGTCTGTTTCTTTTCGGGTAGATTTGCTCAAAGATGCAGATTCTGGGTCAGGTTCTGAGGTTGGGAACATCTGCACAGGCCTTCTTCAAACTCAACCACTGAGGTCGGTGTGGTTTTAGTGGGTCTTTAGTGTCAAACAGGCAGCCAAAGGAAGGATAAGCATTTCACTGGACTTTTTTTTTTCTGATCCAGGCCTTCACACAGGAGAAGGGTGGGACTGCTAGAGTGGAGGGTGGAGGTTGGTGGAGAGGGGATGACAGGAAGGGTTTCAACCATCGCTACTCACGCTTAAAAATGGTCGCCCCGGAGCGTTTAACAATCCCTGTTCCAGTAATACAACAGGGGGGGAGGGAGGAAATGAAACAGGTTACCATTGATCAGAGCCCACGGACGAACACCAGCCTCACCTCATCTGAGTCGGTCGCAAAGTTGTTTTGAGGTTCATCGCAGTCCCTGAGGTTATTTATAACACAAGTTCAGCTGTTTCTTGGACAAATTAAAGCCCTTTTCAGACGTGGAGAACATTGCTGGCTTCATCGTTCTAGTCGTTTAAGCTTCGGTCACTTTTCCAATAATGTTCCTCTCACGATATTTGACAAACTCCAAGTGATGTACAACGCAAAGTACTGGACCAAAACTCAACTAAACTAGCTGATCAAAGTGCTTAAGTAACTAACAGCCCAGTTTATTTCTGATAAACGGTGAAAGTGCACGCTCAGGACTCAACCCCAGGACAAAACATTCACCCGCAGCTGATCGATCCTTTCTCCATGTCAGGGATAATTAAAATAAAGTTATGCAAATCTCTCTTTAGAGACGCAAATATGGGTCCTGCTGCTTCACTACGCTGCAGGTATTTAATAAACTCAGAGGAAACAGTTCTAAACTAACAAACTTCAGCAGCTACTAATACATGTGAGAGGAACTTAGATGACATTCATTACTGGTGATTGAGCTGTTAGTGTCTGTTTTCATCGCAGCAAAGTTTGCAGCCGAATAGATTCGAGCGCATTGGGTGAGAAAGTGGTTTTGGAACGCCCTGATGTTTCTGGATGAATGCTGGTTCTGAAATCCCTCCTTCGACCACTTCACACCGCTCAGAGGACAGCTGCCTGTGAGTGTCGATGCGGGGATGTGATGGTTTTGCTCAGACTTGCATTGGAACTGAAATAAGAAGGATTGCCGGCGCAACTTTTTCAGAAACGTGACCAGATATGAAGCCGACATGTTGGATTGAAGTCAGATTAACGGAGTGTGTGTCTGAAAGGGGCTTAAAGCCACTGATGCACTGAAAGTAAACGGTATAAAGTGCCAATATTTCGTGTAGTTTTTCTTTTCTAGCATAAAAACGTATCTCCTCTGGTGGCCTTTGGTCTGATAAGACACAAACACAACCTGAATGTGTTTGACTCAGATGAGGTTTGGTGGTGACGTTTAAAAACTCAAACACTGGAACGAAGCACTTTATGATGATCTACATGAAATTCACTGTGAACAACAACGAGACAAACACACACATGGACACACTTCATCAGGACCGATGGCTGGAGACGAAGAGGACAAACGGACTCAGAGCAGGAGGGCGTGTCCGAGGCTTTACCTGTGTATCCCTGGTTACAGTTGCAGATGATCTGTCTGTTGCGGTTGTCCTGGTAACAAGACGCAGCAAAGTGGCGTCCGCTGTTGGGCCCGTCGGGGCACGGACACGGCCGGCAGTGACCCCCGGACGATATGCCCAACACCGGGTTACCATAGTAACCATTGGCACACCTGCAGGAATTATAAAAGGAGTTAAATGAAAGAGTAAACAGCAGCTTTAATTGGCTGTTATGCTACTTTTAAAGTGACTCAACCAATAACGGAGAAGTTTGTTTTTCAGTCAATATAGATGTGAATTAATGACTATAATTGTGAGCAGCTCTAATAACCTACTGGATGGGAAAAACCCAACAGACCTGGTAGTACGAAAAAAGACAACTTGCATTTTTAATACAGTAAAAATATTTTAAATTATTACAATTATAAGTAAAAAATGCTTAAAAAGCACCAGAATATTTTAAGAGTACTAGAGAGATATGACACTAAGAGAAGCTCATTATTAGGTTATTTTACTAAAACAAATCCTTTTATTGTTGCTTGTGGCAGCGTTTTGAAACAGCTCAACAGTAAAACCAAGATACATTTTGAAATAAATGTTTAAAACTGTTTTTATGTTCATTTCTTTCCTAAATTTTTTCAAACAACGCTCACAAGATTTAGCAGCACATTTAGAAGACGTTGTCAGATTATGTCCCATGATAACAAAAGAAGAACGTTCTTGAACCAAAATGTTTTCTAGATGTCATCGAGACCTCAGAAGACAGAACGTATCTGTGTTTATATATGAACAAAGGTGGGACGTTTTGTCTGCAATGTTCTGAGGATGTTTTGAGGATGTTGCTGCTGAGAACGTTCTTCTATAAAATGTTCCCACCATGTTACATGATAATGGAAGGACGTTCTCAGTGCAGCATTTGGAAAACGTTTTAAGAATATTCTTTAGACAACTTAATTCTGCCTTTGAGAGGAACGTTCTGGGAACCAAAAGAAAACTTCCCGCTGAAAACATCACTAGAACTTTGCAGAATGTTTTTAGAACAAAAACATTCTCGCTGGGTTTAATTCCAAAAGTAAAAGTTTTGTCTCTCTGGTATTTTCTGACACGCTGACGTTGTCGTACCGTGAGAACTTTATCCTGCCTTCAGGAAGAACTTTCTCAGAACTAAAAGAAAACTTCCCAATGAGAACATCACTAGAACTTTGCAGAATGTTCTCAATACATTTTTAGAGTAAAACAATTCTATCTTTTTGCTTGTTTGCTTTCTTAACATTTAGTTTTTGGTTGGTGCTGCTCATGGTGTTTGATGGAATACTTCTTGTCTTTGCCTGTGCACATCCCATAACTCTGTCTGTCTCTGGGTTGAATGAAAGCGACTCAGCCCAACATCTCTGACCATGCTCTGACAAACAGACTGGTCGTGGAGCCTCACCTGTCGCACGTGTCTCCTCCGGTGTTGTCCCGGCAGCTGATGCAGGCTCCGGTCCTCTGGTCGCACTGGTCGGCGTGGCCGTTGCACTGGCAAGGTCTGCAGCTGGGGAAGCCCCAGTGGCCCGACTGGCAGCCGTCGCAGCGCTGACCGAACGCTCCCGGCCGGCACTGGCACTGACCGCTGAACTTATCGCACAGTCGGGTGACGGAGCCTTCGAGGCTGCAGCTGCAGGCTGGATGGAGGAGGACGAGGAGGGGAGGATGGGAAGGAAGAACGAGACGGAGAGAGGAGAGGAGAGTGAGTCAAAGGTGGAAGGAAATGAGAAGGAAGGAGATCAACCTGCACAAACTCACAAATATACTGATTTTGACTGAGGGAAGGAAAATATTCCATCACTAATTCTTGAGAATGATTTACCAGTGAATCAGAAGATGAAGAAGAAGAAGAAGAAGAGGGGAGGAGAAGAGCAGACCAAGTGGAGGAAGAAGAAGAAGAAGAAAAGAAAGAAGAAGAAGGAGGAGGAAGAGGAGAGGAGAAGAACAGAACAAGAGGAGGAGGCGGAGGAAGAAGAAAAAGAAGCAGACCCAAAGGAGGAGGAGGAAGAACAGAAGAAGAAGAAGAAGAAGAGGAGGAAGAAAAGGAAGAAGAGGGCGAAGAAGGAGGAGGGGGAAGAAGAAAAGAAGTGGAAGTAGAAGAAAAAGAAGAAGAAGAAGAAGAAGAAGAAGAAGAAGAAGAAGAAGACCTTGTTCGAGACTTGTCACTTGGGAAAGCAGGATGGCAGTTAACTGACTTTATGTACTAATGTGCACTGACAGACAGTAGGGGGCGCCACCAGAGCAGAACATAACATAACATCATCTCAAAGAATCCACATGAGCAGCTGGACCGTGTCTGAATCAGAAGAACGTCTTTATCCATCATCGTACGTGTACGAAAAAAATTATTAATGTGCAAAACAATGAAGTGCCTCAAGTCAGCGGTATAAAAGCATATTAATAAATAAATGACATAAAAGAAATGCTTCTAAACTAACTACAAAAAAATATTATTTAAAAAGAGAAGTAAATATTCTAAACAGGAAAAGAAAAAAGAAGAGGTGTTTTTCCAAATCCCAGTTTTGTGGGAAGACATGTCATTTTAATTCCAGTGAAAACTCTTTTTTTTTTGGACTGAATGACAGAAAGTTTGAACACGTGACCCGATCTGACGGGTCGGCGGTCGGGTTCCTCACCGATACACCCCGAGGGTCCGAAGCCGTACGTCCCCGGAGCGCACTGGTCGCAGCGCCGGCCGATCACGTTGGGTCTGCAGCGACACTGGCCTCCGCGGACGTCACACATGGAGCTGACGGAGCCCTGAGGGTCGCAGTTACAGGCTGGAAGGAGAACCAGAACCGCCGTCAGAACACTGAACACAAACACACAAGGACTACCTGAGCGTTGGGTGGATTCCCACGGCTGGATGGAGGGGTTCTGCCTTCCTGGTTCCAACGCAGGACCCGACAGTTCTGAATGTGACTAAATAAATAGCAGCTACTGGATGTTTTCAGGAGGAGACAGAACAACGGAGGTTTGTTCTGAGGGGAGGAACTGATAAAAACAATATAACCAGCTCAGAGCGTTCAGACGTTCTTCCACTCACGCAGCGCTCCGTCGTTGATGATGGCCGACATGCTGAGGACCAGCTTGGCGCAGGTGTCGCTCATCAGCGGCCGGGTCACGCTCTTGGCGCCCTCGTGGCACCGGTACCGCTCGTAGGTCTGCTTCCTGCTGTTGGAGGCCGGATCTCCGGCGTTGAACATCTCCAGGGAGGCGTGGCGGGGCATCAGGGCGACCTGGAGACGAAGGGGAACAGAGAGGAGGGGAGAGGGACGGGGCAAATTATCCACCTGCAGAAACGATGAAGCAATTTGTAGAGTAGTTTTTTATTTAAATCGCAGGTGTTGGTTCACTAACTACAAGGATTTGTGTAAAATATACGTGTAGATGTGGATGTTTCTATATTTAAAAAAGGCACCAGTAATACTTTAATTTGCTGCATCCTTGAAATAAACATCAGAATTTATGACTATGATTGTAAACAACCTGAATACAAATCTGATCTTGTTACTACAAAAAAAAACAACAAACCTGTTGACAAAATAATTTTTCTTTACAGTAAAAGTTAGTAAAAGTAGAAGTAAGAGAACAGATCATCGTAAATCAGGATTTAGCTGCAGATAATATTACAAAATAAGATAACTTTTATTACAGTTAAAGCTCATTTAGGTACATTTTAAATGGTAAACATGCTTAAATAGAAAGAAGGCAGCAGAATATTTGGAGTATTTTAACTCAAGAAAAGCTCAATATTAGATTATTTTGGAAATTTATCATTTTCATTGTGCAGGTTTAGAACAACTGAACAGTTTTAAAAAAGCTTTTTTTTTGTTTTTTTGTTTTTTCAAGGACCTTGAGATGCTATTTATAGTATTTTATGTGGTGAGAACCAAATTATGAACCGTAGGAGAACGTTCTTATTACATTAACTAACACTATCTACAAGTTTTAACAATATTTGAAAGAAAACAAATTAATCTTATACTGAAGGAACGTTTTAAGCACATTTATCATTTCTAATAATGTTCCTGTGAGGTTAAAAGTTAACTGAGACAGAACGTTTTAACATTCAGAGGATGTTTGTTGTCAGATTATGTTCCTTGATAACAAAAGAAGAACGTTCTCAAACCAACATTCAATAAATGTTTTCCAGATGTTATCGAGGCCTCAGAGGACAGAATGTGTTTTTATAAAACGTCCCTGTAATTTGACGGAACATTTTTCCTGCAACGTTCTGAGGATGTTTTTGGGAATGTTACTGTTGAGAACGTCCTTTTTTTAAAAAAAAAAAAAAACGTTCCCACAATGTTAGGTGATGATAAAGGAAGGCTGTTCTCAATGCAACATCTGGAAAATGTTTTAAGAACCTTTTTAGAGCATCTTTAGAGAACTTTATCCTGCCTTTAAGAAGAACATTCTGGGAACTGAAAAAAAAAAAACCTGTTGAAAACATTAACAGAACCTTGCAGAACAAAGTAAAAGTCACATTCTCCATAATTTCCCTCATTCTTAATTTCATTTTTCTGAATCTTTTTTTTTCATGTCCAGACCTGATGTTGCATTAAATCTGTCAACAAAATCCGTCAACCTGACCTCATGCGATTCATCTACTCATTTTATTTTAGAGGAGCGTAAAAAAACACATCAAACAAATCTCACAGAGTCGATGAGGATGACGGCGTTGGCGGCTCCGTTCAGGATGCTGTTGGCGTCCTGGTAGCGCCTGAACTCGAAGCGAAGCGTGTACGTCACTCCTCGCTCCAGACACACCGGCTGAGGAGGAACCACGAACCTGCAGCCAACAGTCAGAGCATGAACGGACGTTAATGTGGGTTTTGGTTTGTTGTTGTGTTTTTCTTTCCCTTTCCTGTGTCTCTGTTTGTCTGTGTGTAGATGTCTTGTCCATTTTCAGTTACTTCCTGTTTTATTTTGAAATTCCCCTGTTCCTCTTTTCCCTTCGTTTTGATTCACCTGATTAGTTTCACTTGTGTCTTGTCTCCTCCATCGGTGTTCAAACTCTTGTCTGTCCGTTTGTCAGTTTGGTCTCCTGAAAGTTTTTCTTCTTGCACCTGTGGTTTGTGATTTTTATTCTTTTGGTTTCTGTTTTCATTATTTTTTTTTTTTTAGGATTTGGTTTTAACGATTGCCACCTTTGTTTTGGGTGTATTTTTGCAAGAGGGTTGTATTACGAAGCAAATTTTAACATATTAAGACTTTCCTTGTGTGAGACGGCTCAATGAAAACTAAATTAATGTAACTTATGTAATATTCTCTGTAATAAATAATCAATGTTTTAATCTTATCAGCCACAGTTGCAGCACTGTAAATGGACCAAACATAAAATCATATTTCTGCGATTTCCTGCATCACCAGCTCAACACATATAGGTTCCCATGGCAACACGATGCATCCAGTGCATCCACCACAC